GCTTTAGAATCTGCAATCCATTCCGTGGTAAATCACTTACAGTGCTATTTAACAATGATCTTTGGCGAGCGACATCCAAGTTGTTTGAGGGACTATTACAGGTCGGTAGAAGGGGTAAAGGGAGAGGGTTGGGTACGGAAGACAAAGAGTTGAACAAAGGCTGGGATATCTGAGCAGTATCCCACTTATCACTACCCACCCCACTCGATGCAATGGGCAGCGCGGTCCTGATTATCCTGCGCGACGACCGATGAATTTATTTTTTATGTATGCATTGGGGTTTGATGGACGGGTACTGCTAGGGTGTCCAACCACTAAGCACTAGGGTTCTCGTTCAACGTCCAACAAGAACCTAACCGCAAGGCGGCGGGTGAGACGAAGTGGAGGCCCATATACTTGAATCAATTACTCCTCCACCGCTTTTTATCGACTAAAACGCCAAATTCCAGGCGAACCCCCAACCTGGAAGACCAGGAGACTGAACTTCGTCTGATCTCTACCCATTGACCTTCCAGGTATGATAAGATCTCCTGGCTTTATAAAGCCATCCTGTGTAGCTCGTTGGGTCACAGAGGTGCACAAGCCATCACACCACGTCAAGGTGTAGTCTCGTAGTGATGAATTCACCTAAACGCTATATTAAAACAAATTACACCTACACATTTTGGACAAAATATGGTACATAGTGTACGTGCAAACCAGCTCGGATTTTAATCCCTGTACGACTTCTTGGTATGGCCAATGCTATCCGTGACTCATGGGGAGCTCCGAAAAATAGTACCAAAACGCTTTCAATTACGCTCGACCGCGCCAGATATTCGTATCTGTTTTAATGGAACATTGTTTGACCATATGTTTAACGCTTTGTGTATTTTGTTCCAATGTACTTTCTTCCCCTACCAGTGGTAAAAATGTTGAACGAAACAAGTTAGATCTACCAGCAACTGTGCACGCATCCGGGCGTTGAAAGGATTCTTTTGAAAAACCGCGATACAATCTTTATAGAAACAAAAAAGTTCCATGATTTTCTTTTGGGTGCGGTACTATCAGGTTGCCCATGCCAAGGCATGTTAATTTTCTCGAGGAATTCACAACCGGAGCCTTCAACTAGCTAAAGCCTGACCCGCAAGGCAGCTGGGCGGTGTGTGAAAACCGCAGTGTCCAGTTCGTCGGATTATACTCCCTTTGGATGGGGTGAAACGTCCAACGTGCCCATTACATCTCGATGCCCAAACCAAGACACCCACCGCGACCAAATTGAGGCTTCCGGAGGCGCGTTGAAAGGACATTTGAAGTCATTTTCTGTGATGGATGCCTTCAATACGGGTCTCGATCATCCAGACATGGGATGCACTTATCTAAACAAACGGATTATGAATAAAATACATGTTTCGTGATTAAGTTGCCGTCTGATCTTGGATATCTTTTCCATGTTCACAAAGGCTCACCTTGCCGAAAGCACGTAACCTGTTGCATTTGTTGTTTTCTTATGCAATGGAATCTCCGCGATATTGGTTCGATTTGGTTCGACCAAAAGGCGATTTGTATGGACTTCCAATCTGTTTATGTGCAGTCTGATGGTTGGCCATCACCGACTTTGTAAAATAGTTCGCAAGTCCGAAATTCTGGGCAAACCAACCAACCAGAGGCAACAATAACTGGTGATACGCGGAAGCAGATCTCAGTCTGCTAAGCGTCGTGTATTGGTCCCTATAGGCTGCAGCTCGAATACGCCAGCAATCTAACTGTAGATCCACTGGGGACGTATGTAAGTGATGCCCATGATCTGGATGAAGTTGGCTCTAATGGCGATCCCAGATGTCGCCGTCTACCTCAACTTCGTAGAGAACTCGTCTGCGACGGTTGATGATCGTTCGTGTCGCTCAGATAGCTTTACCGTCCTGGTAGTCGCCAGGGTGCACCTTGATGCCACTGATCATCATCATCATCGTACAGCGAAATACAGTGGAGCGAACTTCACTGATCGCTGTCAAGCTCACAATGTACACAAATCAACTGATAAAGCACAAGATGGAGAGAGATTGGGCCTAATTGGAGGGACAAAAAGAAAAAGGACCTCTGTAATCAACAAACGGAGTACACAATCTAAGTGTGCATACACACCGTTTTAAGCATTGTGGTCAGATAAGAAATGACAACAAGAACGCCACTGCTGTCGGTTCGCTGCCATATCCTGCAACGTCTCCAACCAACCAGTTGTGGAGTCTTTCGGACCCCAACCTGGAAGGCGCGTGACACCTACTTTACCTAATGGCTCTGTGCATTTCTTCATGCCTCGCTTCCACGCGGTTTCTTCCAACCTGGAGCCGCAACTGCGAATAGGGCGCCATGCGGCAGTCGATGGCTGGACATGCGCAGTACGTGTCCTAACCAGCGATGCCCGCTAATCTGAATTCGATGGGACATCGAGTTCTCCATCGAATTATTACCAAATACGCAACGACTTACCTCAGATTTGCTTACAAACTCGCTCCATTGAACACGCGCCAAACTACGTAAACATCTACAGTCAAATACTTCTAGAAGACGGATATCTTCCACGCGCAAATTCGGGGTCTCGCAACCATGAAGCCAAACTGATCGCACACTGGCGCAGTAAACGCGACCTTTCAGTTTCAATAAAATTTCCCGTCTGCACCAAAGGTGTTTCAATCCTGCGTAACCTGCTCCAGCCTTGGAAATGCGAGCGGTTACTTCATTGGCTATGTTACCGTCATTTGAAACGCACCTATCTATCTATCTAAGCATTCCACTACAGCTAGTTCCTGACCATCAAGCATCAGCGCTGGGGTAGATGACACCCGGTCTTGTAGCATCACTTTGTCACGTCATCGGCTCCGTGAATAATTTATGATGTTACCGTAAGAAATTTATTGCGGCGAGCATCTGAACGTTTCAATGGCTCCTTTGGTATGATGTATGACGTTGATAAAACGTATAGTTTTAATCATGCTTTTTCTTGTGAACCTTTTAGATCAAAGGCTAGTCCATTTGGAGCCACTCACCCAATGTTCAGTCTCGGCATAATCCACCCTCTTCGAACTCGTTCAGTTTGTAGTGCACAACTTTTCAGTCATTTGGCCCTTCATACATCATGCAGTCGACCTTCGCAACTAGTAGAGAAAATGTTAACTCACGTACCAGCCAAGTTAACCCCGTATTTTCGCCTAGCACGAGTTGATAGACCAACTGGAACTTGGCTGCTCTATTTGCCCTGCACATGGAGTATCGCTTTGGCATCCGCTCCCGGACACCTACCAGACGTTTCCATGCTTACATTGTTCGGTATCGGGGCTGTACTCATGCGTGGAGCTGGATGCACAATCAATGATCTTTGGGATCGAGATTTTGATCGCCATGTGGAACGCACAAAAGATCGACCTTTAGTCTCCGGTGAACTAACCACCATGAATGCTCTAGTTTTTCTCAGTATACAACTGTCCGCCGCTTTGGTTGTTTTATTGCAGCTTAATTGGTATAGGTAGGTGTTGTCTATTCTTCACGCCATCCAACTTTAGTGTATTCGTCGGATGTTTATCCATGATCCCGGTTATAACATATCCTCTGTTCAAACGAATAACCTATTGGCCTCAGTTTGTACTCGGTAAGTCAGCCTCATTTCTTGGCACGTTTCTGTGCGTAGTTTATATCCTGAAAACCGAGGTTATTTTTATCCAGAATCAGCACACTACTCTACCATTGGTTCACTAGTAGAGATCATTGATACTGTTTTGATTTTAAGTTTGCAAAATATAATACTTGCCTTGACATTGGAAATGAACAAACTTCAGTGCACAATTTGTATTCGCCGAATCTGGTCTTTGTGATCTAGCTACTGTTCATTTATAGTCATATCAGATTTGCTGCCTTTTCATATACACAGCTTTCCCGGACTGCTGCCACACCGACTCATTTTAAGGTCGTTTTTTGTGCCACCAGGTTTCAGCTTTTTCTCGGGCCACCAGCTCATTTGGTTCCCTTATACTCTGTGACGCTTCTTTGGAAAAGGGAGCTTATCAGAGTGTACTATATCTTGCCCGATCATCTTAGATAATGTTTTACCCGATGTGACCTTGCCTATGACCTGTTGCTTACGCCTTTTACAGTTTTGAAAGTGGTCTTTTTCTGCGAGCCACCAATTGTAAGACGCTGCTTATCTAAATGTTGGTGTACAGCTCTTAAAATATCTTTTTATTAAACATTTATGCTTGACTTTTACACCTTGAAATGTTTTGTTTGGTATGATTGCAGCAAACGAAAGTTCCGCGCTCATCTTAAACCCATATCCGGCAATTTTCGTGCTCTGTTATATATGAATATATTCAGATAAGAAGTGAAACAAGAACATCATGAAATGGTAAAATAAAGCTTGAATACGCCTAGTTAAATTGTTTCGTTGTTCAGATTGGCTTCATTAACCACCCACCTAACACGATCACCTCGCTTGTACATAATAACTAAAGTGCGTTTGCATTCGCTGGCTATCTTCACTCATCTCGGATCACACCGTCTACCTCAATAATCAATAAACGTCGAGGAGAGTTTCTTAAAAGCATGTCACACTTGTCCAGATATGTAGTTATGTGGTCGCCACGCTAAGTACATAACAGGTTGTTCGTTTAAAACTCTTGAACCAGTGAGTTTAAACAGTGATATGTCGAAAGTACCAATTCAAAATATCAGTTGTTACCGAAAATGACAAATTACCACTATAGACCATTGGTTCGTTTGAATCCAGAAGTGGTAGAACAGGTTTTTACTCTGGTCTTTTAAAATATTTTTGCATTGGAGGTTCAAAAATACTAATGCACTTGTGTGTCTACAATTTAGTGCCTCCCGACTGTGCCAAACAAATCCTGGTTCAATATCCGTGTAGTACAGCAATCAACCAATGTTGTATTCGGTTACCAAAACCAAAAATGGTCGTTTTCTTGAGCATCATAGGCAAAGGATTCTGCAGCGAGGTGGTGTGTAAAGCTGCAGTTCAGTAAGGGCCGACGTTCAATCCATCAAGTCATGCTCCCGTCGGGTGTGGTTCACACGTCTATTGTATCGCACACGCGCCGCAACCTAATGTAACTTTTTTCCACTTTACTTCCTTTTATTTTATATACAAAGATACAATTTTCAGGAAGGGGGAAGCAGCCAAACAAAGGGCCGACATTCAACACACAATGGGGAAAGTCAGGCGGTGATGGAGGGATTCCTACACACGTCCTTCGGGATGACAATCTAGTGACTGTACCACCGGGCCACCACCACTGATGCCCATCTCAACTAGAAACCTTGTTCGCACACTTCTTGGTGAAAGTTTTAGTTCAGGGTTTACCAGCTCCCTTAAATGAGCTAGCTACCTTCAGCACGGCCTCAGACATTGCACTACGTATTAAGGCTGACCGCTCGCTGGTCACTTGAATGCCAGCCACTAGTTGACTATGCGCTTTACGATTGAATGAGTTAATGCAGATAAACTGCTACTGGATAAAAGTCGGTATTCCTTCCTCGTGCCTCTGTCTCTGTCAGCTTGATTGTAATTCGTCTGAAGTACACTTCAGATTGGTTCATCCTAATGAAGTTAGTATGCTCAATCATCAGACGTTGTCCAAATGAGATCCAACACTGTATTTCATTCATTGGATAGAAGAAAGATAACTCAAGGTGAACTACAGAGCCAACAGTTATACCAACGGAAATTTGAAGAATCTCGTCATAAAACCGATCATCACAGTCGTTTAATAAACCTGCTCACATCTGAGAGATCCCGGTCCTGTGATAGGTGTCTTTTCGTCTGTTCTATTTTTTCAACTAAGAAACGGATATCTATCGGCTTTAATTGCAGCAGTAAATGATAACCCCACAAATCTGTCACAATGGCCCAGGACTGCCGTTACTAGTAGTCCATCAGAAC